ATGGTGTCACTTATGTACATGATATAGAGAAAACAAATGAAAAGTCAAGAAAAAGACAGAACTAGCAATCTGACCATAGAACTAGAGCATACAAGAAAGAAAGAGGCAGGAGTGAGGACAAAAGAGGGGCAAGGGTGATGGTTCATGGATGATACAGTGTGGGTGAACTATGGGGACTACAATAATAAAAGAAAAAACAAAATGGCCATTTTGTTCTACTTTGTTATAGCAACTCCAGCAAACTGATACCCAATTAAACAAAATTTCATTATTCCTCAATGTTACCTTGTCATTGTCAAAACTGTACATCTGACATTAGTTCAGTCAACTTTACTTCTCTGTTAAGGAGTGGTTTACTCCATTTATTGTCTATTGTTTTCACCTTTATTGTTCAGAAAGATGGTGCTACAGTATAAATGGACTGACTGAACACAGTTTACTGTAATTAAGATCACCTAGTTTTTATTAAAGGTAATTAAAGTAAAATCAAAATCAAAAATTTACTTGTCAATTATTGAGGGAGTTTCATAGGAGGTTATCAGGATATTTACCAGATAAATTTTCCTTAATAAAAAAGTAAAATTTTATATAGCCACCTATTCATTGTCAACTATTATCACTAAACTTAGGGATGCTTAGATTGTGGAAATGTTGCCAAGAGAACTATCTTCAGTTCATTACAGTGCATATCAGAACATGACTCAATTGGCAAGTAAGAGCTCTTCACTATTTGTTAGAGATTGTTTATAAGGATAAGTGACATACAAAGGAGAGGCGACGGTTGTCAGGAAGTATATCAATAGCCCTTCCATTGCAAGGCACATTCTGTTAGCAGCAGACCTTGAAGTGAATGTGGTTATCCTCATTTTAAGTTTTCCTTCAAATAGACACATTCTTTTATAGTACGTAAAAAGTGGGCTCTAACTAGGCTGCACTGAGGTACCAAGCCAGCCACTATCATTAAAGAACAAATTTTGTCCAAATTAACTTTTTTTTAATAACTGAATCCCACACTTCCTCCAAATTTCTGGGCTGTCCATCATAACTTCCATATTTTAGCAAAAGAGGAGAGAAGAAAATTAAAATCTAGGAAATACAGTGGATGTCATTCACTAAATAAAGTATTTTGTATGTCTAATCTACTTTAGTTCTCACATTAACCATTAAAAAGGTGGATGTGGTTATCACCATATCATAAACAAAAAAATTTAAGGCTTAGGAAAGTTTGGCAGCCTTGGTCAGGTGAATCACACAGCTACTAATCTGTGGAATTTCTATTTCAGGGCAGGTCATTGGATTCCAAAGTTCCTAAGTCTAAACTCAGGCAACAGATTTCAAATCCCTTCCAAAATAACTTATTTAAAGTATTCACAGACTTCTTTAAAACACTGGAAACCACATAGATACCAGACATCTTGCAAAACCTGACTTGGTTTATTCTTCTTACAAAGAAATCAATGTTTTTCACAAACAGGAATGGAAAGATTCAAGTTATCTGAAACGAGTTTTTTTCTGAGAACACTTGTAAGTACTTTAGATGCAGTACAGTGGCGATCAGTTTTATTATTACTATTTCAGCAATTTTACGTAGTCAATTTACTTCCTGGAGATAAATAATCAAGTTTCCAATGGTAGGAAATACATTAATTCTAATATTTTTCCAAATGTGGTATCTCATGCTAGACCAATAGTTCAAATCATGTATCTCTTACCTAACTATATTCTATAACTCTGGAAAGTATATGAAATATATGATTTCCTAATCATGTATAAATTAAACATGGTAGATAGATGCCTATTACTGTCCTTTCATGTTCTAAATCTCTTCTAAAGCCCTTGAAGAGGAGGTAATGGGATAGAATTGTTAAGAAAATGTATCTGACAGTGCTGAAATCAGATCCCTACTATCTTTCTTTAGTATCTGAGAAATAATAATGATGTTAGTGGCTAAAGAAATACTAGTAGTGCAGCTAAGATTTATTGAGCACTTGCTCTGTGCTAAGCATGGCATTCAGAATTTTACATTTATCATGTGATCAAACAGAGGAATGCAGTTCAATTTAGCCGTCAAGATTTGGGGGGAGAAAGGCAGTATATCTTTGATATTGACCTCGTACCCACTATTGTAAATTAAGGTGGAAGAAAATACATTTCCAGATGAAATGTACTTCCAAAGTAACAATATACATTAATATCATCCAACAGTGGGATCAAAATCCCAAGGCTCAGACAAGATATATTTGTTTGTTTTAAATTAAATCCCGGTTTTGTTTAGAATTCATTTATTTATGCATATCATAACTAGGGTACAGGTTAGAAGTACAGGGGTGAGAAGATTCTCCAGACATAGTGGGAAGCAGAACAGGCAGATTGTATGAAAACCACTGCTGAGGGGAGCAGCAGGCAGGACAGGAGAGGTCTGCAGTGCCATGTGGGTCACCTCCCTGGCTGCAGCATGGGATAGTTTCATAATGCTGAGCTTTAACCTGTTGTGCCACCAGGAGAGACCCAGACAAGATGTTTTGATGCTATAGATACTGGATCATTATGCAACCTCTTCAATTCTTATGCACTACCTCATGATACACAGATGTAACTTTTTCTATCTGACCTAGATCTTAATGATCAGTCTATCTCTACTTGACTTTATCTCTACTTGTTACAGATAAAATGAATAATAGAAAGCATAATTATAAACATGTATATAGTAAATAAAGGCCCATTATTTCTGTTTCCCCAAACAGCAACAGCTATTTAAAAGTATATACTCTTACCTAACCAAAAGAAACTCAAACTTTTTTTTTTTTTTTTCTGTTTTCAGTAGAGAGAGAAAAAAAAAAAAGAGAGAGAGAGAGAGGAGAAAAAGAAGTTGCTGGCTCAGGAAACCTATGTAATCAATCATGTAACAGAGGATTTGTTTATTTCTATGTGCAAAGTATTTACAAGGTGACTAATACCAGTCATTTTTATTGAATGCCTCTGTATGGGAATACTACAATTGGGAATACTACAATTTTCTCATAGTCAAAGTGAGTACAAAATATATCACAGTGTGCAATTCTTGATTACAATGACTAATCAATTCTTACATACTCATTTTTCATTTCAGTCTAGAATTTATCAGTGATTTTATCTCTGTCTAGAAGCTTAAAAAAATAATGGAAGTCCACCAAGACCCATTTAAAATATATAAATAACGAGCATCTAGGAACTTCCATCCCTCAGTCCCTAACACAACACCAAGTAGCATTGTTTTCACCTATGCATTTGTTCAACATGTACTGAACACTTACTATGGAGGAGACTATATGTTACAGAGATATGGTCAATCCTTATTATCTGTTTCCTACCCTCAAAGAGATTACTTAAATTCACGCTGTGGTGACTTATTTTGAAAAGCAGATTGAAATGGTTAAATAAAAGGACACTTCAGCTCTAGAATTCTATTTTACTAAATACTGAAAAAATACTATATAAAATTCTAAATAGTAATATATCACAAGACACTAGATACAGATGGTGCTAAATACTCTCAGTATTTAGTATTATAAACGATGTAAGTCATTGGAATAAGTTTTCAACATCACGAAATTGGTACTGTCAAATAATATTTTTAACCAATATCTTATATTGAATTGCCATTTTTATGTTGCATTTCTATAAGTTTATACCTAACTAGTATAAGAAATAACCTAGCTTGTCTATATTACAAATACAAAAATTTTATATAGTGATAGAAGCTAAAAGAAACTAAATGTCACTAACTGCAATATTTAGGAAAAAATTGCAATGACTAGGATTTGATGAAAATGAAGGTAAGTTTGTCCTTAAAGTCTATATCTGGATTTTAACCCCTGTTGGGGATCATCATTTTATTTTCATTTTTTCATATTTTAATTTCACTTTCATTTTCTCTCTTCTACCTAACTACATTAGAGATATATGCACACATCAAGAAATCATCTCACAATATATGCTTAAATTTTCTGAACGTGCCCCATGTGTCCACTAATAGCCAAATGCTTTCAAATCTGTTCAGCTAAGTGGATCAATAACTATATCCAGCCTCCTACGATGGGATTGCCAACATAGTAAAATTGAGCCAAATACAAATTGTCTCTACTAGGACAAAAAAGCACTGCCTACCCAGTTATCTAAACAGATCTACTCTTCTTAAGTATCCTTCAAAAAAGTTAGCATGCATATTATTTTGAGCAGTCAACCGTTATTAAAAAATACTGAGACTTGGAATGAAGATTTAGAGAAAATAGTTGTGAGCTCAAGCCAGTGAGTTTGATAAGCCAATACAAGTTCAAGGTCTACGTCAAATAAGAGGATTTTTTCAAGCTCAGAGTACACAAAATACGTAATAGCACAAGCAAATGCTAACAAGCTTCTCTGTGTCCCCACTCATATGACACAGCTGCAAGCAACAATTGAGCAGGTGCAACCAAGCTTTTGAGAATTCCTGCCTGTTGCCCAGGAACCACAACACCGCAGGCTGAGATTTTAAACAGGTGCAAACATTTTTTTCCATTCCTCTAGTGCTTGAGACAGTGCAGCAGACAGTACATCTGCAACAACAGCTCTTTACCTAAAGCAACCACAACAGAAAATAAACTTCCAAGCAGGAAAAAAAAAAAAAAAAAAGCTTGAAAATGTTGAAAATAAAACAATATCAGAAACAGTGGCTTTGCAACTTGACCCCCAGCAGTCACTTTACTAATAGTTTCATAAGAACTCTAATCTCTTCAAATGAATGCTTATAATTCAAATTATTCTGCCTTTTCAAATCTTAAAAACATTTATTTAATTCTTACAACAGTGTAAAACACAAGATATATATAAAACATGCTATCTTTAAGAAGCTGTTGATATTAAGTACTTAAAATTAACATTTTCACATTATGAAATCTATAAGCAATTTTAGTACACAAAAATGTAGTAACTTGTTATTACATACATAGATTTACATAACTATCGGTAAGTCACATACATACCTGAGCAGCTCTATGGGGCACAGAAGACTAGTAACTTATCAGGTACTCTGAAATACAAAGCAAATACATCAGATAAGTAAGACATATTCTAAGTGGAGTCACTATATATGCTTAGCCATTTTCTGTAAAGCAGTAGGGAACACTGTAGTGATTAAATAGGTAATTAATTTAATGTCTACACTTCCCCCATAAGATCACCATAAACTCCTATGTGTGAATATATACACAAAAAATCCTTTAGAAGAGTTATCTAAACCCAGCACCAGCAAGGAACTAAGATTTACCATGGTCTCAGAAGTGCAAATGCTTTCACTAGAGGATGAATCAAACACTTCAAAATGATTATTTTGGGGGTATACTTCCAAGAGTATTGCCTTCCTAATACAAATATGACTAATATTCTCTAAAGTGAAACAACTCAGAATTCATCTGCACTCAGTTTGGATAGACTATTGGTGAAGAAGAAAGGTGGTTTATAGAGGTGATGACATGAAAAATTCATTAATAAATAAAACTTGAGTGTTGACTAACTTAACAGTAAATGAGATTAAGCCCCTACAAAAGAGAATGCTACAGTTACACCAGCCAACAAACTTTAGAACACTGCCAATATAGCAGATTTCAGTCCTGGAGAAGACATAAGCCCAGCCTAAGCAAAGGTATGCAGACTTTAGAAGTAATCCTCAAAATAGCTGCATGGAGGTGGAAACTGTATTGTCTTAGCCAGACTCCATACTCCTGTGACCCTTGAAAACATATCATAATTCTTTATGAAAGTAACTGAAGTGTTCAATTTATTTACTTCTAAGCACAGTGGATGGCAGTTACATATTAAAGTATATAGGTCTAGCTAATACTTGCCTAACAGTCCACAGAAAAGTCAACTTTGATGATAGTTCAACAGAACACTACTTTCATGCACTTCTGATGGCAGTGTGTGAGCTGCTAATTATTTTTTAAAGGTTTATTTATTTATGCATACAGAACTGGGGTACAGGCCAGAGATGCAGGGGTGGTGAGAGGATTCACCATATATATATAGATGTATGTATGCATGTGTGTATACATATATATGCATGCATGCATATATACATACACATATATGAAAATATCTAGGGTGTAAAATACATGGACATTATGAAACTGCATGGATTAAGAAAAAAGGAAATACTAAGGGACTATATTTGGGTAATAAGATTATGATTTTAATTTTTTTTAATTTTACTTTCACATATGGTTAATTGACACAATAAATAATCTGTGCAAAAATAAGTATTTTCATAATGGAAAAAGGATATTAGTTGGCAGGATAGGGTAAAAGAAAAAATTTCTACAGTAACATATGGAAATCACAAATCTAACCTTCCTAAGTGAAGTAAATTAATTCAGTAATACATAAAATCCACTAAGCATACCTACCCTGAAAAATACATCCTCATAGGGGTACAACCAAGGTCACTTCATCCCAATGCTCTAAAATCTACACTGGTTAATTCAATAACACATTTTTAATCATCTTAGTAAAACTTCTTTAATTATGCATAGTGAAATGATGGCAAGAACAACTTAGGGTCACAAATCTGTTCAACCAAGTATAGACTAATTTAGTCACTAAGTCAACAAGTTTAATGACCATCTATTAGTTGTTCAGTAAGTAGCTATTGTATGTTTGGTATTATCGTATAGTGCTGTGTTTGGCATTATAATATAGTAAAAGATAAATCAGAATATATTTTACATTCAGAGCTAACAATTGAAAAATACTAGAAATCTGTATATATACCTTTCCATTAATTTTGTTGTGAAACCAAAACTGTTCCTAGTCTTTAAAAATACATACACATACAAATATATGTATACATATATATTCAACATACATAAAAATGTAAACACAGTACAATTTAAGGCATTTGTAACATATTTGGTATATTTTGAAGCAAGAAAACAGTACCAGAGTTATTCTTTTGTATTATTGAGAAAATACTAATATTTAGGTAACAATAAAAAGCCAATAGTATATAAGTATGCATCACTTATAAGATACCTTAGTAAACTGTTTCAAACTTTAACTTTTTCTATATGCGAAATATTTTTTATTAATACTTATATAATAGGAAAGCAGGTATGAAATAATATTGATCCAATCTTGGATGCCAGATGTGTAAAATCATCTAGGTTATCTAAGGTCACATAAAACATATGCACAATTATTAACAGGCTAGAGTTATTTATTGGCAACCAAAACAAATAAGTGAGTTACTTGCTAACCCTGCCAAAGAAACTGTTGGGACACCACCACCAGGGGAATAAAAGGAAAGCAACAGTGGACAGCCCAGTGCTGAAAGGACACCTAATCAACCAGAGGTGGAGGAGGAAAACTATTTTTGGTATGCAGAAAAATGATTCCGAGTAGAAGTTTTTACAATAGTAATTCAGTTTCCCTGAGACAAGGAACCATAGCTGGCACATGCCCCTCTGAAGCCAGTGTCACAAAATGGTTCTGAGGTTCCATCATGGGGTCAGCTTGTATGAAGCGGTGCCAAGCACAAACAGAAGCTATTCGTGTGATCAATGATCTGTAGATCTGAGACTCACAGAGTTCTGGACAGCCACAGAGTTATATGAAGCAGGACTGTGGTTAAATGATTAGCCTTTGACGTCAGACAAACCTGGAGTGGAATTCTGATTCCCTTTCTTTAATTGTGTGATCTTGAGAGAGTTAGAGTTTTCCTGTCTGTAAAATGCAAATCACACTACCTGCTCTATAGGATTGTTTGTGGGCATTACATATTCCAAGAATGTAAAGCAACTAGCCCAGTGTCTCCTACAAAATAAGTTTTGCTAAATAGGAGCATGGGTACTGTCCTAGTTGTATGAGAAAAGGAGAGGAAATCTGCCCCTTTGAACAAAGGAACTAAGTTAAGCAGTGAGTGAGAATATACCTAATGCTGACAGCTTGTTTAAACTATTACTCTACCTCCCACAGCTTTTCCAATAGCCAGTCATGTGCTGGATGTTCACAGAATGTCTCTGAATCAGGAAATATGCTAACAATATCAACAGCTACAATAAGCAACCCTAACCAGTCTTTGCAAGCACTATTCCTGTTACTGAAAAGGCAGTATGTAAGTGACCTGTGCAGAAAACTGGCTATTTTTCTAAAGGAAAATAAAGAATATTCCTCTAAACTTAACTGAAACAATCAGGAACTAGAAAATAAGAATGAAATGAGGCCCTCCCTGGTGGAGTAGCGGGTTAAAGCACAGCACTGAGAAGCTAAAGCCACTTCCGCATGAGTTCCATTCCCACCTGCCCCAAAGGTGACCACATGGCGTGGCAGACCTCTCCTGACCCGCCCGCTGCTCCCCTCAGCAGTGTACTTCGTCGATCTGCCTCTCACCGCCCCTGAGCCTCTGGCCTGTACCGCAGTTCTGTATGAATAAATAAATAAATCTTTAAAAAAAAAAAAAGAATGAAATGAATGCAATTATTCAACTAGAATCAAACCAATGTGCTGTGGGCTCATCAATCACATGTGGGCAGCATCACTTTTTTGTTCTGTAGTTTTTTGTAGTTTCTACAAGTGACGTGAGAACACACAGAATGCAAGATTTGCAAATATAAGTTAAAAAGATTACAATCACTTTTTCTCTAGGGGTTTTAATAAATGAGTGAATGCATTCTTATGTTTCCTGAATCCATATTTCTGTTTTGATTTTGTGGACAACATAGATCCAGAAATGTGAAATGATGCCTTCAGAAAACCACAGATTATATTATCCCTAGAATTGTTTGGCTCACTGAGAGTGAAGTTACTACTAACAATACTGCAGAGAAAGATAAAATATAGAAAGATATAATATAGAGGATTATTTAAAGTAATTTTTATTCCCAGATTGGCACAAGTGTGTTCCACAATGGGAATGAATAGATTCTAACGGATGGTACAAAGTACAGAAAATTAGCTACAGTCCATATTGTTTGCGTCTGTCAGGAGATGGAAGAGGGGGTTACTTTGAACCATGAATAAATCTCACAGTTTATTAAGCTAAGGCCCTGAAAAGGGTCTACAGGAGCAATAACTCCGTAAGTGTTATTGAACCTAACTTTAAACTAAAGAAGAAAAATTCCCTTGTGACAAGCACTCTTAGTAACCTTTCAAAAAAGATTTATTTATTTATACATACAGAATTGGGGAATAGCCAGAGATGCAGGGGCAGCGAGAGGATTCACCAGAAACAAAGTGGGGAGCAGAACAGGTGGATTGATGAAGTACACTGCTGAGGGGAGCAGCAGGGGAGCAAGGAGAGGTCTGCCACGCCATGTGGGTCACCTTGGGGATGGGAATCGAACTCGCACTGAAGTCACCACTGCTTGGCTTAGCTTCACAGTGCAGAGCTCCAACCTGCTGTGCCAGCAGGGCAGGCCCACTCTTAGTAACATTTTAAGTGTTTTAAACTTAAAAATTTACCTATCTTGAAAAGACACTATGTAATTCAAAATACTTTTATTTTACTTAATATATATTACTTCTTCTAGACTCATTACTGAGCTTAGTGTTCTATCATTATAATATTGTTATTATAAAATGTAGACTTTAATAACCAAGAAAGTCAATTTAATTGTTAAAAATTGAGGTGTCCTGACTTCTGCAACTTATCTGAACAGAAAACCTATAAAGTGTAAGGAAAACTGTCATTGTAAAAGTAAACCTGAAAAACCTTGTTAATTATACTTATTTTTGTAAATTACTAAGCAAGATTTAGCCTTTAACTCTAAAATTTATCTTTCTATCATAAAGACTAAATATGAGAAGCAACAGTTATCTATCAATTCTGCTAACTGGAAACAGATAAATTGCAATAAGGAAGGAAAGAAATCAAAAGATAAATGCCTATCCTTTCACCCAAGAACACAGTTGGTCTGTCTAGACCTTAGGTCAGATCAACTGTAAAAAAGCTATAAAATGCATTTTAAAAAAAAAGCTAATAAAAATTATATATTTGAATTTTCTAGAATAATGGCTATCACTTAAAATAGGACAATT